GGAATGTGTTTTGAGCACAATTTGCTTCACTTGCTCACCGAATGATAAAATAACCAAAAAAAGGCGAAATAGACACGGTGACAAAAGGTCGATGCTGCAAGGCAAAACAGAAAAATGGATGTTCACACAGTGCCACTTTGAACAGCCACGTCCAGCCCGATGGTTCTTGTGTGAGCCTGCACACTCCTTGGCGGAGGTAACGACCTGAGCGATCGTTGCGCCGCATGTGTTTCTTATCACGGGCATGTGGCGGCCTCGGAGCCGCGTCTCATAAACGCCGCCTTCAAAGCCGCTTCATCTTCCTGCAAAGGTTTGCATGTGAGGACCCCCCTCCGAGCCTAAGTTTCTAATTAGAGGGGCAAGGTGCCCCCGTGATGACATCATCACCCCCCCCCCCAACCCCACTCCCGCCTCCACCCCTCCTCAAACAACCACCTGCCCTCTCCATTTTCTGGTCGTTTTCTCAATGGCGAAGGATGGAGAGCACGACAAAAGAGTGATGGTAAATAAATGCAACTTTCAAAAATAACGCTAATCGTTCTGGTGACGGTCATGATGAGAGACGCTCCCTGATGAGATGATTTGTCCACGCTTGTTCTGTATCCTTTCTTGCAAACACACTCGGCCACTTCTCTTGGCTTTGCATGAAAATGTGGATTTGAGCCTTTTGCTCCGGGAGCGTTTTATTGGTATTGCTGGGAATAACAAGCGAGGCGCACCTTCGCATAAGAACAAAGTGTTCTGTTTTTGTAATCATAATTTCAACCTGTATCTGCTTGGTAAATAATTGAGATTTAATGAATTGTATAGTACATGCGTGCCATAGAAGTACATCATTCTGCTGATTGTCTGGAGTCCGTATAACGGCGGCTCATCTCGAAGCAGCTCACAGCCTCTGGCACAAACAGCTAATTTTTATTCTATTTTTTTTTTTGACAAATTGTATTAATCATGTACTATCGTCAAATTGGCAAGAAATTAAAAAATATATATTTTTTTCTTTTGGGGCAAATATTCCCATGAACCAACCAATTGATTTCTATGTCCACACATGATTTGCATAATCGGCCCAGGAATTCGTTGCATTTTATTTTCACTTTATTCTCACTTCTTCCCTCGCATTAGTAATTTTTGAATCTACTCCCATTTGGTCTCATGATTGAGATAAGAACATCCTATATTTGCTGGTTTGCCATCTTATTAACATGCTGCGCAACGTCCAGCCCGATGGTTCTTGTGTGAGCCTGCACACTCCTTGGCGGAGGTAACGACCTGAGCGATCGTTGCGCCGCATGTGTTTCTTATCACGGGCATGTGGCGGCCTCGGCGCCGCGTCTCATAAACGCCGCCTTCAAAGCCGCTTCATCTTCCTGCAAAGGTTTGCATGTGAGGACCCCCCTCCGAGCCTAAGTTTCTAATTAGAGGGGCAAGGTGCCCCCGTGATGACATCATCCCCCCCCCCCCCAACCCTTAAGCAAGCTCCGCACCCACAGCCTGAGCAGCACCTGCTTTGCGACATCAGAAGTGGACCCTTCCTACCTTCTAATTTGACTTGATCGCTGGGCCTCGTCCGTCGCTTTGTTTTCGTTGGGCCGTATTAGGCTGCTGCGCGTCCTGCGAACTTGCTCACGGGGAGCTAAAAGAAACGCTTCCTTTTTGATTCGGTGAGTGACCTTCGCATGCCCCCAGTTGCTGTCCCGTCAGGCTTAGTGAGAGCAAAATATTTGTTGTGACTTTGTTTGAATGGATCACCTCAAAGTTCGAGTGTAGCAAGTGACAACCGAGTGAACCGAGCGCCCGACGATCAGACAGACGTCACGATCGACATTCACGCGCGCGACACTCTTCGTTTTGTTTGCCGGAAAGTTCAGAGTGGCCAAGTTGCGTGTCGCTACTTCGTCTGAATGAAGCGACTGTGGACCATCTGAAAGCATTCACTTGACCGTTCCGCGTAATGACTGACGTTCGCACTCCCCTGTTCTGTTTGTGCAATGCGAGTGAGTCAAGGTGAATGGCTGGCCGTCACTTGGTTTGACTCCACAGAGTGTCGGCAGCATGTGACGTGCAAATCTGCATACCCGAATCTGCCCCAAATGTTCCCATCTATCTTTGGAAGCGCGTCGACTCGACTGTCATCATCGCTCTCGTCACGTTTGTGACCTCGGCAGCCTCCGCCGACTCGTGATTCCATCGATTATTTACAGCCGGCTCTCGAATCTTCAATCGCGGACCTGACAGATCTCCCTCACCGGCGTGTGACTGATGATCTGCGAACGGGCACGCTCGCATCCTCCTCGTTTGCTTCCGCTTCGCTCAACCGCGACGACATTGCGGGTCCCACCGGATGTTGACGTGCGATTCCGACGTCCTCCGAATGAGGAGGCTTGAGGAGGGCCGTCTTGGGAAGGGGCGGGAGGGGAGGGGGGGCTGTTCCTGCCGGGCGCGCTTGTCTGGAAGCAGGTCGGCCGACGTGTAATGAGACCAGACAGCTGGCAGGTTCAGCAATGGTGAACGGCGACGCGCGCGTGGCAGTCAGACCCACCGCCGCCATGCATGTTTTCGGAACATGGGAGGAAACCGGAGTACCCGGAAAAAACCCACGCAGGCACAGGGAGAACATGCAAACTCCACAAAGGAAGGCCGGAGCCGGGATCGAACCCACGACCCCTCCACTGGCAGGTCAAAGCGCTCACCATTCGACCACCATATACTGTGTGTGTGTGTGTGTGTGTGT